CTACTACAATGCACCAAAACCTGGAGTTATTTGGAGTTATTTTACCAAAAAATATAATTGATTTTACCACCCGGTCTAAGTTACCCCAAGAGCTGGGGTAACAAAGACCATCACCTTTTTTGAAATTACTACATGAAGACTATGAGAGGCAGAAGCCAGCAATTTATGGTGAGTGAAGCTAGAGTATAGACCTGTATTTTACATGTTTCAATTCAAGTTTAATTTAGCTAGTAAAAAAATGGCATCATTTATAAAAAAAAGTGGTCTAAGTTACCCCATTTTACAGTAATAAGAGACACCCCTAAAAATGCATTTACAGTAAAACCTTGATTAGCAAAGGCTTCAGTTGATGAAAAAATCAACTGACAACCAAAATTTTTGATAAAATTTACCTTGCTCAGTGAAAAAAATTTCACATAACGAAAAATTAATGCATTGGTCATCACAAAATTGTCCATAGAATGTCATAGATAGAATTGTACACCGGGCAACATAGAATGAAAAGTAAGTAACCTAAACTATGATTTATTTCTCCACAAGATATGATGGTTGTCACTAAAATATTCCTTTCTGTTTCAGGTACGTTTTCACGCTCTTTCTTTGAGTTACAAGTAAAAACACAGAAAATGTCATTTATTCTACATCATCTACAATGAAAGAGGAGGACTTCAGAGTACTATTAGTAATGTATAAGTACACTCTGCATGCTTCAAACATTTTAAAATCGAGTTTCATTTCAAGTGTCCCGGATTACCCTGTTTCCAGGGGTAATTCGGGATGGTTTTATTTTGCATCTGGCACCTTACGAATAGCGTATGGAATTTTTCTGAAGATGCCATTTGATAGCGCTCGCAAAGAGCTGTAAAATGAGCCCAAACTTGTTCATGAAATGTTTCATGGTAAGAAGTTATTAATGAAAAATGCTCAAAACCGTCCCTTATTACCACGTTTGATGGTATCATTTCTTAACTTGCTTTATGCTACATAGATAGTAAATATGCTGAACTTAATGCCACTATTTTTAGTTTGGCAATATTTTGATTAGTTTTGCTGCTATAACATTTCTATGATATGTGTGACAACTGCCCTGATTTACCCCGCCCATCCCGTATTACTCTGTTTGACTGTGCATTTTCAGGATCTCTGAACAATCTAGGTTATAGTCTTGGATCTTAGAGGGAGATATTTTTGAGCTTAGGTTGATTTAGGCATTAATGGACCTATTGACAACTTCTCTTCTACTTGTAATTCATTGCTCTCAGCATTTGACATTAGCATCACTTTGTATGAAGTTAATATTCCTGAAACAATTTACAAACTATAGCCATCCTGTTTTGGTGAGAGTGAGGCCTGCTATGGAGTCCAATATTACTGCAGCAAGACCATACTATATCAGGACTATGGACACAGGACTGTTTAAACTTTATACCTAAACAATTAGAGTGCCAAGAAGGATAAAAGTTATCAGTTAGTAATGCCTAAAAGATATTTCTGTTGTGCTGCATTGTTAGATCTGTAAAATGATTTGTTAGATGTGTATTTATACTAAATGTGTTACTTACATCAATGTTGTGTGCAGGGCAAGACGTGGCAGTTTGACCACATCCTTAAGCCCAACATCACACAAGAAAATGTTTACAATAAAGCAGCCAAGAATATAGTCAAAGGTAAGGGCATCATGTTTCTATTGCATTTTCCATAGTTTAGGTATCAGTTTGAATCACTAAGATGAATGAGCTCCCTCATTTGCTCATGTATATGAAATGCAGGTAGGCTACTCCTATGCTAATGTCCTTTGATCCAATGCATTGACCACAGAATATATCCCTGTGGTGCAGGCTCTTTTATTATCCACTGTTTAGTGTTTCAATGTGTGCAATGACGCCACAAATGTATATTATGCTATTTCTAATGATGCATTGAGTGCACATAATAGATATGTTACTATTTCTTCTCATGCCACAGATGTGCTCAACGGGTATAACGGTACCATCTTCGCGTATGGTCAGACATCGTCAGGCAAGACTCATACCATGGAAGGAGTCATGTCTGACCCAAACCTGCATGGCATCATGCCACGTATCATCAATGACATCTTCCAGCACATCTACAGCATGGAAGAGAACCTTGAATTCCATATCAAAGTCTCGTACTTTGAGATATATATGGATAAAATTAGAGACTTGCTAGATGGTGAGTGCAGAGCTCAAGCTTTGATACTAATGATCCTTATATCCTTGCTCTGAATATTTACTGGTTAAATCATAAACTGACATTATGGATCATTTGTAAGAAAGTTGGCTGAATAGTTGGTTTTACTTGGTGTTTGTGGTGTGTCCACTTACACCACTTCTCCTGTTGACCATCTAGTTATGATTATGTGCATCAACTTGTAACAGTTGCAGTGTTTTAAGTTATACCTGCTAATGCTCAATTAACTTTGAAACAAACACATTATCCCATGAGATTAATGTACGCTATGTTTGTGTGGTGCAGTGACGAAGGTGAACCTCGCGGTGCACGAGGACAAGAACCGCGTGACGTACGTGAAGGGCGCCACCGAGCGCTTCGTGTCCTCCCCCGAGGAGGTCTTTGAAGTCATCGAGCTGGGCAAGAGCAATCGCCACATCGCTGTTACTAGTGAGCTCATACTATGCTAACTTGATTAATTTGATATAAGAGGCTTGAGGTGTATGTAGGTGCTTTGCAAGATGACGTATTAAGCGTTAGCGTCTGTACAGTTTGTTGGTAGTGAAACTTTAGCGTTGCAGACATGAACGAGCACGGTTATTATGACGTATTAAGTTAGTGTCTATACTGTTAATTGGTTATGCTACTTTTGCGTTTCAGACATGAACGAGCACGGTTTTTATGACATATTAAGTTAGTGTCTATACTGTTAATTGACTATGATACTTTTGTGTTGCAGACATGAATGAGCACAGTTATTATGACGTATTGAGTGTTAGTGTCTATACTGTTAATTGGTTATGATACTTTTGTGTTGCAGACATGAATGAGCACAGTTATTATGACGTATTGAGTGTTAGTGTCTATACTGTTTATTGATTATGATACTTTTGTGTTGCAGACATGAACGAGCACAGTTCCAGGTCGCATTCTGTCTTCCTGATTCAAGTGAAGCAAGAGAATATGGAGACCCAGAAGAAGTTGCTAGGAAAATTGTACATGGTCGATCTTGCTGGCAGTGAGAAGGTATGAGTACCATTTGCACTCTGTAATTTTCTCCAGTCTGACTCCTTTATTCAGCTGTTTGTGGTCATGGTAGGTTGTGTTCGATAAGTTATGTTGCTGCTCTAGAACTGTTGCTGCTCTATGTAGACTAGAGGTGGAGGCTGAGATCCAACTGCAGTTGAACAACCACGGATGAGATAGGAACTGATGTTGCATGGGCTTAGTTGCTTGTGGCCAGCTCTGAGAAACCGTTTGGTTGTTCCTCTCCTGTGTGCTAAATGCGCAAAAATGATGTAGACTTAGTTTTCAGACCAGCGTTGTCATTGGTGTGTTGCCTTATATTATAGTCGCTGTAGGTGAACAAGTGTTATTTCGTGCAGTTGCAGGTCACTAACACTAGTATTAATTGATGCAGTTGCAGATGTCAAAGTCCTACATCAACAGATTGCCGTCAGTAAAGTTGACCCCGACTGTTGCAGGTGAGCAAGACGGGCGCAGAAGGCACTGTGCTGGATGAAGCTAAGAACATCAACAAGTCGCTGTCGGCGCTGGGCAACGTGATATCTGCCCTGGCTGATGGCAACAAATCACACATTCCCTACAGAGACTCAAAGTTAACACGCATCTTGCAAGAGTCGTTGGGTGGCAATGCGCGCACCACCATCGTCATCTGTTGCTCGCCCGCCTCTTATAACGAGGCTGAGACAAAGTCAACGCTAGACTTTGGTAAGCGAGCCAAGACCATCAAGAATGTTGTGTCTGTCAACGAGGAGCTCACGGCCGAGGAGTGGAAGAGGAGGTACGAGAAGGAGAAGGAGAAAGTCGCCAAGCTTAGGATTCAGATCGAGAAGATGGAGTTTGAGCTAAACAAGTGGAGGGCGGGCGATAAGGTCAGCTCTGAAGACCAGGTGCAGCTTGAAATGGATGCCTCCACCAGCTCCTCTATGCTCAGTGAGTCTTGCCTTTTTCATCGCTTCTTCATTTAAGTTAATATTATAATCTAGTATTATTTGCGCGTGCACTGGCGCCTACATTGATTATTTTTGGAGCCCAAATGCGCAGAGTGACGGCCAAAAGTGCTGAGCGTTCAATTGCTATGCTACCTAAGAATAGCTGCTAACTGTAACTTCGATGGATGTCGTCACTGGCTGTGCGTATGATAAGGTAGTGTGGCGCCTGAATGCTCCTACAGGCAATGGGGCTTGTGTAAACTGCAGCCCTGTGCTGCTCCAGGTGCCGTTCCTGGACTTTATTAAAGTCTAGCGTGAGAATTATTTTTCGCTTAGCTAGGGTTGAAATGATAAACTAGTTACAGCGTTGAGCCTTTTGCTGCCACGTAAACCTGCTGCTGGTGACAATAGCTGACGTCCTAGGCTACAGACTACCTCAGTATTGATCAAGCAAAGATCAATGTTTAACTCATGATTAAGCATTGAGAACTGCTGACGTGACGTTCTGAACAAAGCTTTTAGCGTCGGCTGGAGAGACTGTGCTCTCTGTCCACCGTAATGCCTGCTGCTGCCATTCGCTCACATCATCCATGGTTCAGATAGACTGGCTTAGGTACGGTAATGCAGCGCTAGACTACAAGGTAGGCTAGGTAGCATCATTGATGATGAGCCCATTTGGTAGACGATCTATCTTTAGATGCTCCACAGCACAGTCTGTATAGATTGTCTGCCTCAGGAAGTGAGGCGAGTAGGAGCTAAGGGCCAAACACTTGCCTGCGTGTATTATTTAATTATCTTTGATCACTTAAGGCAGGGTTCACACCATGCTGCCGGACACTCGCCAGTCACGGTCCAGTCCAATATTCTTTAATGCATTTCAATGGCAGCATTCACGCCATGGGCATGGCAGGTGCCTTGTACGGCAGCAGTGAATGCTTCTATAGAGATGCATTGAATAATTTTGGACTGGATCATGACTGACGAACGCCTAACACGCGCCCAGTTAAATGCCTAACTTTCCGAACTAACGAAATTGACTTATTAACCACGTTTTCAGAAGGTTTTTGACCATTAAACTTCTGCAATTCTGACCATTAACCATGTATAGTTTGGATCATCAATCATTTACCGTCTGATCTTTGGCAATCCGCTGTTTTGATAGTCAATTAGTTTATACAGTTCGTGTCATTGAATATATGTTTTTCTGATCATTTGTTATTTAAGTTGTCGAAAATCTACGAAACGTTGTAGACCAACAGCAAATATTTCAGACCACTTAATGGGCTGGCAAACATGTTTCTGACTCACCACTAAACACGTTTCTAACTCACCACCAAACATGTTTCTAACTCACCAACAAACACGTTTCTGACTCACCACCAAACATGTTTCTAACTCACCACCAAACATGTTTCTGACTCACCACCAAACATGTTTCTAACTCACCACCAAACATGTTTCTAACTCACCACCAAACA